GGTTTCATCATGTGGGCCAGGCTGGTCTTGAACCCCTAACCTCAGATGATTCACCTGCTTTGGCCTCCCCAAGGCTTGGGATTACAGGCATGAAACACTGCACTCAGCCCCATAGCAAATTCTTTTCTTTTTTTTTTTTTTTTGAGACGGAGTCTCGCTGTGCTCCCAGGCTGGAGTGCAGTGGCGCGATCTCGGCTCACTGCAAGCTCCGCCTCCCGGGTTCACGCCATTCTCCCGCCTCAGCCTCCCAAGTAGCTGAGACTACAGGCGCCCGCCACCACGCCCGGCTAGTTTTTTGTATTTTTAGTAGAGACGGGGTTTCACCATGTTAGCCAGGATAGTCTCGATCTCCTGACCTCGTGATCCACCCGCCTCGGCCTCCCAAAGTGCTGGGATTACAGGCTTGAGCCACCGCGCCCGGCCGCAAATTCTTGACAGCAAACATTTTTTTTCTTTTTTTCTTTTTTCTTTTTTTTTTTAAGACGGGGTCTCTGTCACTCAGGCTGAAATGCAGTGGCACAATCACAGCTCACTGGAGCTTTGACCTCCCAGACTCAAGCCATCCTCCCACCCCAGCCTCCTAAGTAGCTGGAACTACAGACATGCACTACCATACCTGGCTAATTTTTGTACTTTTTTTTTTTTTTTTTTTTGAGACCCAGAGTATCCCTCTGTCGCCCCGGGCTGGAGTACAGTGGGCCGGATCTTAGCTCACTGCAAGCTCCGCCATCCCAGGTTTACCGCCATTCTCCTGCCTCAGCCTCCCGAGTAGCTGGGACTACAGGCGCCCGCCACCTCAACCCCCGCTAGTTTTTTTTTTTTGTAATTTTTTAGTAGAGGGACAGGGTTTCACCGTGTTAGCCAGGATGGTCTCGATCTCCTGACCTCGTGATCCGCCCGTCTCGGCCTCCCAAAGTGCTGGAATTACAGGCTTGAGCCACCGCGCCCGGCCAATTTTTGTACTTTTTTGTAGATACTGGGTGTTGCTATGTTGCCCAGGCTGGTCTCAAACTCTTGGTCTCAAGTGATCTGCCCACCTCAGCTTCCCAAAGATCTGGGATTACAGGCATGAGCCACCGCACCTGGCCAACATTTTTTTAGTGCTTACCAAACACTGTCCTGTGTGCTTTACAGACAGCAACTCATGGAATCCGCCCAATAATCTCCTATGAGCATGGTACTGTTGTTATTCCCATTTGACAGATATGGAAATTGAGGCATAGAGGCATGCCCAAAGTCACTCACCTGGTAAAAAAGGAAGCCAGGATTTGAACCCAGGCATCTGGCTGAGTCTAGGCTCCTAACCACTTCCTTATGTTAGGTCTCCTAGCCCACTCTACCTGCTGCTTCTAAAACCCTATTCATGAGGAAATAAACACTCGGATTTTAAAAATCGTACATAGACAGAAAGAGATGGATAAGGGGGGTCTGCACAGCACAGACTGATAGATGATGGGGAAAAAGGAGTGGGTCCCATCGTTACCTGGTGCACTTAATCTCATTCATTCACTCATCAATTCATCCTATGTAGAATTCAGGGGCTACTAGGTGTTAGAATGAGAAGATATCAGAAAACAGTTGAGTTGGTGACATGAAACCCGACCACACACACAGTGAAATAATTGGGGAAGGGGAGTGCAGGACCAGTGCGCGGTGCTGGCAGGAGCTGCAGGGTGGGGTCTGGGAAGGAAGATCTGGCAGGAGGAAGGGAGAGGGCCAAGCTCCAGGGAGCTTTCCCTGGCCACCCCAGCCCCACCGTAGGTTGGGGGCCCTTCCCCTGTCCTGCTTATCTGATCCACATCCCCATCCTTGTTAGCATTTCCCACACTGAGTTGAAGTTTCCTATTCAATTCTCTGTTATTAACATCTGTATCTCCAGAGATAGGCATGGATTCAGTGTTTGTTGAGTGACCTTCTGGAATGAAAAAGTCTCTGGGGCGGGGGGAAGCACAGGTGTGCAGAGGGGAAATGAGCAGACAGGCTCACCTGAGCAGACGGCGCTGCGGTGGGTGCTTCTCAAACTCTAACATGCATAAGAAACTCATGAGGAGCTTGCAAAGAACTGCAAATCCTGATTCAGGCAATGCGGGGGCGAGGGCCTGACAGTCTTCATTTCCAATGAGCTTGCTGGGGATGCCAACACTCCCGGTCCCCAGACCCCACTTTGAGTAGCGAGACCCTAGATGATCCCGACCTGTCTCCACCCACAAGAGAGGCTCATTCCACACTAGGAATCCCTCCCTCCCTCTGCCTCATCTTCCGGAAGTCACTCACGCAGCCTCAGCCAGCCACTGCTCCCGTTTTTCCTCCTCCTTCCCAGGACCAGGTTTAAAGACAATTGGCCTCATCCCTGCTGTTCCCACAAAGTGTGTCCACTGGTCCTAAGGGAGGTTTGGTGAGGGAGCTCCCGTAGTCAGGGACGTCTCCCAGGACTCAATCACAGATCACTTTAGCTCCAAGAAGTCTTGAAATGAGAAAGCTTTGTTTAGGAGCTGGGGCTAGTGGGAGGAGGAGGGGAAGAGATGGCTGAAGTGGGGAAGAGACTTAGTGGTCCTACTAATCCTCATCAGTACCCTCCACCCATGCTACTCAAATCTAAGTGACACCCCAGGTTTGCTATGCAGTGGTGGCTTCCCTGTCATCCAGATGCCACCCTCAGATCTTCCCCATAAGGAAATTCCAGAGCCACCACTAGAAACAGGCAAGGTTTGTCTTTGTTTTGGGGGAGGTGGAGGAGGGGAGGCACCTTTTCTCCAGTCAGTGACACTCTGTTCATTGTAACTCTTCAGGACCCTGGTCCCCAGTCTCCTTTGCCTCTCTTCCTCACATGATCTGTATTAGTCTGTTCTCACACTGCTGAGAAAGCGATACCCAAGACTGGGTAATTATAAAGGAAAGAAGTTTAATTGACTCACAGTTCCACATGACTAGGGAGGCCTCCCAATCATGGCGGAACGGGAAGGAAGAGCAAAGGGGCGTCTAACACGGCAGCAGGCAAAAGAGAGAATAACAACCAAGCGAAAGGGGAAACCCTTTATATAACCCTTAGATCCTGTGAGGCTTATTCACCAGAACTGCAGGGCAAAGAACAGCACGAGAAAGACCCACCCCGTGATTCAATTACCTCCCACCAGGTCCCTCCCCATGACAGGTGGGAATTTCGGGAGCTACAATTCAAGATGAGATTCAGGTGGGGACACAGTCAAACCATATCAGATCTGATGTCTTTATCTGCACTGAATTGTAAATGATTGATAAGATGGAATTACATCACCTCTGAAGCCTTGTTATTCTTAGTTTGTTCCCCTCTTCCAACCCCAGATCTATTTTCTGCTCTTCTCTGACCCTGGGAGGCTGACCTTTGGGGACCTCCTCACCCTCTGGCTTCCTGTTGGGTTCAGTCAATAGGGGGCTCTGCCAGGAGATCTGAGGGCAAGAGGAGACCACCATTGAGATATTTCCCACCTGCTTCAGCCTGGATAGGGGGCAATGGGTATGTCTCCACAGCCTCCATCCCCCTCAAGGCGGCTCCTCCATAGCGCAGCTCTCCCGGGCGCCCTTGAACTCTTCTGCCCCTGGGTGCTAACAGCTTCCTGCTGTTGCAAGGCCAGGGATGCCTCACTGTCTCTGCAGATTCCTTTAGTCCCATCCATCTCACTGTAAATAGTTCTTTTACTAATTTTTATTATTTTTTCTTCCCCCCACCCATTTAAACCCAGTTGAGTTTTTGAGTGCGCCTTCTGTTTCCCACTGGAATCTGACCGATATAGGATGTTGCATTTTTATCAGGTACAGGGTCCAGATTTGGCTGAAGCCAAAGAAATGAAGCTCTAATCATAGAATTTGGGGCTAAAGAGAGTCCAGAGAGAGAAAGTATTTTTAAAGGGGAAAGTGTGTGGGTGTTTCTCAGTGCCTCAGAATCCAACTACAGCAAGGGCTGGAAGTGAGTTTCTCACTAATTTTATTCTCTTCAGCCGCCATGTACTGAGACACTGCTGTGTTCCAGACACCATTCTTGGGATTGTGGGAACTGAGGAAGAGCAAGACCAGGCCCCATGTCCCGGAACCTTGTGCTTGGGGACACACACGACCAGGGCAGGATGAATGCCCTGGCAAGGAATTGAATGTGACAGGCAGCCAAGCAGGGCAAAGCTGGCTGAGATAAGGGCCTAATCACAGTTCAGACAGAACAGTGGCTGAGCAGCAGACGGAGGCTATGTTCCAATGCTAGGGACCTGGGAGAACCCTGGGGCCCAGGAGGAGGTCCCACAGGTCTCTGGAGGACTGTGAGGTCGGCCTCTCAGCACCCTCAGTGCAAAAACCAGGGCAAGCGCCTCTCTGTGACCCCCTCAGGGAAGCCTTCTCAGACACCCAGGCAGGTTTTTGTTTTTGTTGTTGTTTTTTGAGATGAAGTTTCACTCTGTTGCCAGACTGGAGTGCAGTGGCACGATCCTGGCTCACCGTAACCTCCGACTCCCTGGTTCAAGTGATTCTCCTGCCTCAGCCTCCCGAGTAGCAGTCATTACAGGCACGCGCCACCACGCCCAGCTAATTTTTATATTTTTAGTACAGACGGGGTTTCACCACGTTGACCAGGATGGTCTCGATCTCCTGACCTCGTGATCCGCCCACCTCAGCCTCCCAAAGTGCTGGGATTACAGGCGTGAGCCACCCAGCCCAGCTGCCTAGGCAGTTTTATTTGCTCTTCCTCAACTCTTCCTGCATGTCTCCTTTCCTTGCACATTTCCCGCTGATCAAGGGCTTCCCGTGCACACACATCGTGCTGGGGCTTTGAGGCTTGAGCTCATTCAATCCTTCCAACCACCTTTGGGGGAGGCCTCATGCATCCCATTTTATAGATAAGTAAACTGAGGTTCACGCCCAGCAACTTGTCCAAGATTTTATAGTCACTGAAAGAACCACAGTTTGAATCCAGACTGCCTTCCTCCAAAATGCACACTCTCAACCACTCTATTATTGCTTTTATTTCTAACTTGCAGGAATAGCAGCATCTACTACCAGCCAGGAGTGGTGCTGCGCACTTTGCAGTCAATCCTCACAGCGCCCCCATGAGGTAGATCCTAGGATTCTCCTCAGTTTCCAGAGGAAGAAACTGACCATCTGGAGGTGACTTCGCTCCTGAAGGGCCCACAACCGGGTAGTGGTGGAGCCGGGGTTTGAACTCAGGAGACTCCCAGTTCATGCCATCAGTCACTACGTTCCTTGAGGGGAAGACCTAAGCTATTCTTTTTAAATAGACCTTCTTTTGTAGGACCTTTTAGATTTACAGAAAAATTGTGAAGGTAATACAGAGTTTCCATGTAACCCATTTCCAATTTCTACAATTATTAACATCATCTACTAATAGGATACATTTGTTATAATTAATGCACCAATATTGATATATCATTATTAACTGAAGTCCCTACTTTATTCACATTGCCTTAGTTTACCTAATGCCCTGTTTGTGTTCCAGGTCCCATCAGGATACTCTAGGACATTGTGTTGTCACATCTCTCTCTTTTTTTTTCCTTTTTTTGAGATGAAGTCTTGCTCTGTCCCCTAGACTGGAGTGCAGGGGAGCAATCTCGGCTCACTGCAACCTCTGCCTCTCAGGTTCAAGTGATTCTCCCGCCTCAGCCTCCCGAGTAGCTGGGATTACACACGCCCACCACCACACCTGGCTGATTTTTGTATTTTTAGTAGAGATGGGATTTTGCCATGTTGGCCAGGCTGGTCTCAAACTCCTGGCCTCAAGTGATCTGCCCACTTCGGCCTCACATTGTCACATATCTTTAGGTTCCTCTTGGCTGTGACAATTTATCACACTTTCCTTGTTTTCGATGACCTTGACAATGTTTTAAATTGTGGTAAAATACATGTAACATGAAAATTAACCACTTTTAAGTGCACAGTTCAGTTGTGTTAAGTATATTTACATCATTGTGAGTCAGATCTCTAGAACTTTGCATCTTGCAAAATAGAAACTCTATACCCATTAAACAGTAAGTTCCCGTGACCCCTCCCCTAAGCTCCTGGTCACCACCATTCTACTTTATGTTTCTATGCATTTGACTAGTTTAGATACCTCGTATAAATGAAATTATATAATATTTGTCTTTTTGTGACCAGGTTATTTCACCTTGCATAACATCTTCAAGTTTCATCCATGTCATGGCGTGTATCAGAATTTCTTTTCTTTTTAAGGCTGAATAACATTTCACTGAATGGATATATACCACATTTTGTTTATCTGTTCATTTGTGAATGGACACCAGGGTGACGTCTACCTTTTGGCCATTGTGAATAGTGCTGCTGTGGACATGGTTGTACCAACATCTCTTTGAGACCCTGATTTCATTTCTTTGGGGTGTATACTCAGAAATGGGATTGCTGGATCATATTGTATTTCTGTTTTTAATTTTTTGAGGAATCATCATACCGTTTTCCATAGTGGCTGCGCCATTGAACGTTCCCACGGACAATGCACAAGGGTTCCAATGTCTCCACACTCTCGTCAACACTTGCAGTTTTCTGGGGTTTTTTGATGGTAGCCATCTTAATGGGTACAACGTGGCATCTTGTGGTTTTGCTTTGCATTTTCCCAGTGACTGGGGCGATGAGCGTCTTTATTGGCCATTTGTGTATCTTTCTGTCTTCACTGGGGAAATGTCTACTCAAGTCGTTTGCCTGTTTTTTAATCAGGTTGTTTAATTTTTGTTACTGAGTTGTAGAAGTTCCTTACATTTTCTAGATATGCACCCCTTATCAGACACAGTCTTATGTCACTTAATGATGGGGATATGTTCTGAGAAATGAGTCCTTATGCAATTTTGTCACTGTACAAACATCACAGAGTATACTTACACAAACCTAGATGGCATATATATTTTTATTTACATATATGTATTATGCAAAACCAGGTGTCCCAGCACCAGTACTGAATATCAGTCCTTTCCCTTACTGGACCTGCAATGCCAATATTAAGTACCATATATCAGGTTTCTTTTTTTTCTTGAGATGGAGTTTCGCTCTAGTCGCCCAGGCTGGAGTGCAGTGGTGCAATCTTGGTTCACTGCAACCTCCGCCTCTGGGTTCAGGTGATTCTCCTGCCTCAGCCTCCCAACTAGCTGGGATTACAGGTGCCCACCAGCACGCCTAATTTTTTTTTTTTTTTTTTTTTTAGTAGAGACAGGGTTTCACCATGTTGTACAGGCTGGTCTTGAACCCCTGACCTCATGATCTGCCTGCCTTGGCCTCCCAAAGTGCTGGGATTACAGGTGTGAGCTACCGTGCCCAGCTGAAAGTATATTTCTAAAAAATATTCAGTTAACTCAGAAGTTATAATCTCAAGGGACCACGATTTTTTATTCAGTCATGAACTGAAACATTTTTGTATTGCCATGACTGTATGATTTGCAAATATTTTCTCACATTCCAAAGGTTGCCTTTTCACATGATTAACTGTGTCCTCTGATGCACAACCACCTTGACAGGTTTGAGGAGTACTTCTCAGGTACGTCATAGGCCCCTCTATTTGAATTGGTCTGATCGTTTTCTCACCATTAGACCAAGCGTAGGGTTTGGGGGAGGAAGACCACAGAGGTCAATCGCCATTTCATCCCTTCATATCAAGGGTACATACAATCCACATGATCTGTGACCTTGATGTTGACCTTGATCGCCTGGCCGAGGTCGAGTCAGGTTTCCCCACTTTAAAGTTACTCTTTCTACCCGCCCCTCCCCCCACCCTTTTCCATATATGTTTCTCTTTGGAAGGAAGTTGCAGCCTTGTTGGTTTCTCTAGACCAAACACACCCTTATGCACAGTCCCTTTATTAAACTCTTCTCGAATTACCTGCTGGGACCCTGGCTATGATATAAACAGATAACACATTTCATGAAAGTCTTTTTGTGGACATATACTTTTCTCTTGGATAAATATCTTAAATTTTTTTTTTTTTTTTTTTTTTTAGACACAGTCTCTCTCTCTGTCACCACGCTGGACTACAGTGACACAATCATAGCTCACTGCAGCCTCCAACTCCTGGGCTCAAGCAGTCCTCCTGCCTCGGCCTTCCAAAGTGCTGGGATTATAGGCCTGACCCCTCATACCCAGTAGATATTCTGCCCAGCCTAAATACCAGCGCTTAGCACCTCGTCATCATTCAAAACTTTTTTGAGGGAGCGTATATTCAGGGCACTTGACTCTAAGCCCCCAGGAAAAAATATAAAATAATAAAAACCCAAAATGTTTGATGAGACGAACTGAGTCACAGAACTAAGAGCTGTTAGGTCAATAAGCGTTTCATTGACTAGAGTACAGCAATTTCCAAAGTTAAACACGGGCCGGGGATGGTGGCTCACACCTGTAATCTCAGTGCTTTGGGAGGCCGAGGTGGGAGGATCACTTGAGCCCAGGAGGCTGCAGTGAGTCCTGATTGCAGCACTGCACTCCAGCCTGGGCAACAAAGCAAGACCCTGCCTCAAAAAATACAACTAAAAATAAAATACAAACCTGAGCATGTAAGCCAGTGGTAAATGCCGAAAAAAAAGAAAGGACATCTGAGGTAGACAGTGATTAAGTTGTGAAGTTTGCAAAAGGACAGGCTTTGAAGGAGAGCCAATATGTGGGGACAACCAGTAGTAGGCTTCTTCCTGCAAGAGACAAAGACTTCTGGCCGGGCGCAGTGGCTCACACCTGTAATCCCAGCACTTTGGGAGCTGGATCACCTGAGGTCAGGAGTTCGAGACCATCCTGACCAATATGGTGAAACCCTGTCTCTACTAAAAATACAAAAAAATTAGCCAGGTGTGGTGGTGCGTGCCTGTAATCCCAACTACTTGGGAGGCTGAGACATGAGAACTGCTTGAACCTGGGAGGTGGAAATTGCAGTGAGCTGAAATTGCGCCACTACACTCCAGCCTGGGTGACAGAGTGAAACTCCGTCTCAAAAAAAAAAAAAAAAAGAGAAAGAGACAGAGACTTCTCTCCCATGCTGGCTGGACAGGGAGAGTCCTGGAGGGTGTCCCTGCTAGTGCCGCAGCTGAGAGCCCTGTGGGCAGGGAGTCCCAACTAGCGCAAAGATTATGGCCCTGGGTTTGTTGTAGTAAGATTTTTCATGATGTTTTGTATCTTGTTGAGGAGCATTAATACCGTTTGTTTTTCCCTCTTGAAATCCATTCCTGAGTTGCCACACCGAGAGAGTTTGTCCTGGCCAGGAGACAATCACGCAGTATTTTCTCCTTGGCGCTGGAAGATGTTTGTGTGTTGTCAGAAACTGGGTTTTGGCCTCTCACTAGCCATGTGTGTCTTTGTCTCTAAAGTTCCTTCCAGCTCTGAAATATTACAACACAACAACTATACTTCTTTCTTCCTACATGTTTTTTCTTATTACAAAAGTATATGTGTTCACCATAGAAAGTTAGAAAACATACATAAGGGTGCAGAAGAAAATATAAAATCACTCATAATTTCACCACCCAATGCTAATTCTTTCTTTCTTTCTTTTTTTTTTTTTTTGGAGACAGAATCTCGCTCTGTCGCCCAGGCTGGAGTGCAGTGGCGCAATCTTGGTACTGCACCCTCCACTCCCGGGTTCAGCCATTTCCTGCCTCGGCCTTCCGGTGAGTTGGGATACAGGCGTGCACCCACCAGCCCGCTAATTTTTTGTTTTTTAGTAGGCAGGTTTCACCATGTTGGCAAGGATGGTCTCATTCCGTGACTCGTGTCTGCCGCCTCGGTCTCAATGCTGGTTTACAGGCATGAGCCACCATGGTCTGGCCACCCCCGGGTGTTTCTATATTGAATAGTCACTAATTTTTTGCTGAATATTTCAGATGAGTGGTTACCATGGACTGGCGTTTGAACTGATTGTTCTAGGTTATTTACATTTTTCAGTGAAGCATCCTACTTTGTACCATTCTTTCACTTATTTTTTTGTATTTTTTATTTTGAGACAAAGGGGCTTTGCTATGTCCCCCAGGCTGGGAAGCTATTGTGAAGATCATGGGTTCTGATTTCCGCTCCCCCAGGCTCAAGCGATCTCTGCCTCAGCCCCCTGGGTAGCTGGGACCACCGGTGCTCAACTGCCGGATAATTTTTGTTATATTTTTGTAGTAGAACAGGGTTGTTCAATGTTGCCAGGC